TGCGCGGCGTACCAATGTGACATAGAGGGTTGCACGATGAGTTTCAGTTCGGAAAAACAGTTGACTTTGCACAAAAGAAACATATGTCCTGTGAAAGGCTGCGGTAAAAATTTCTTCTCACACAAGTACTTGGTTCAACACCGGCGTGTTCACTCAGACGACCGTCCTCTAAAATGCCCATGGAAGGGCTGCAAGATGACGTTTAAGTGGGCATGGTCTAGAACCGAGCACATAAGGGTTCACACAGGTGCAAGGCCTTATGTTTGCGCTGAACCGGGTTGTGGTCAGACATTCCGGTTTGTCTCAGATTTTAGCCGGCATAAAAGGAAGACGGGTCATTCAGTTAAGAAGACCAAAAAAAGATGACTGACTGAGGCTTTAACATGGAATCTATCATAAAGAGATTAATCCATTGGATTTTCAGGGATTTAGGGGTTTTAACTGTGAATCTCTCTCTCCCTCTCTAGTTCATGATTTTTTTTTGGGTTATTCAGTCAAAGGCTTAAACATGTGAGAGAGCCAGTGTTGTTGCAGACAGATTCTCTCTTTGTTGTATTCTCTGTTATCTTTTTTACAGTTGAATCTGTAACAAATCCTGGAGTAGGAAAACATTGTGTTTTCATGTCACTTTCTTAGTTATTTGGCTTTGATAAGGAAAGGAGATACTTTTATGATTAGATATTTAAGGGCATACTCTCAATTTTTGTTAGGAAGATTTGTTTTACAAGAATAGTATAAAAAGACACTATTTGTTACAAAAATATCGTAAGTGTTATCATAGCTTAGGTTCTTGATTATAAGGTTCGTCTGTGTGACCGGCATATTTTATCTTTCAACAATTGCATCACATTGTAAACGAAATAAGAAATTTCAAAGCTTAGTAGTTTGATACGTTTTGCACAAACAGATTTTGGTGGTTGAAGTATCTAATATCTCATGTGTCATGTTCAGTGGCGAATCTAAGAATATTTTTCATCCGTGTCATAAAATAATATTATCATTAGAATTATGGGTGAATTAAGCCAATAACAATATTGGGCCTTAAAACTGAGAATATAGCTACGGAGTAACTGAAATAAGGTAAATAACCAATTGAAGAAGATTTTSTCATTTTTACCCTCGAACTGCGCGTGAAAGAAGATAYCTCATATTGGCAACGTGGCGTCGTCTTGCCCGAGTGTTTGAGAACGAAAATATCCCGCTCAAATATGTCAAATCTCTAACATAGCTAAACAAAATTAATTAATTTAAACCACCATTAAAACCGCCCTAAATCTTGGAGCATTAGGTTAAATACGGGTCAGACTTAGGTAAATCTGAGCACAGATACCATTCTAAAAAAAAAAATGTCTGATGAAGATGACTTTTTAGAAATTAATAGAAGAATTGAAAGAGTAATAACATCAAKTTCTACCTACTTTCTATTTACCGCAGTCACGGATCTGTGTTATTAAGTAGTGGTAGTTTCTGTTTATGTAGTATATATGTGAAATAGAGATAGATTTGGTTATATTTGTACTTGGGTACTTGGTTTACGCTYGCTATTCCATTTATTAACAACCTATGTAGTGTGGTTATCTGATGGAATTTTCTGTGTTTTTTTTTTATTGTAGCTGACAACACAAGATCGTGTCCAACTTGTTCTAGGCGTTTGGGCGAGAGATGAAGTTGGAAT